ATCAAGCATTGGAACAGCCTACCCAGAGAGGTGGTGGATTCACCATCCCTGGAGGTTTTTAAGCAGAGATTGGATGTGGCCCTTAGTGCCATGATATAGTAATTGGAGTTGGATCAGGGGTTGGACTTGATGATCTTGGAGGTCTTTTCCAACCCAATCTATTCTATGATTCTATGATTCTATGATTTAACCCTAATTTAAAAATGTTGATGACTAAATATTATTGCCAATGCCTAATCCTCAGAGCACAACTGGTTGACATTGTTTAAAAATTTGGCAATAAAATGAAAAGTATTTTAACAAGTATTTTCCATTAATTATAACTTTATCAGATTAATTTTAGACATGTCCTTTGTATTAACTTACCTGAGACAGAGATAAAAAGAGATGGCTTCCCTATGGACTGGTCCAACCTATTAATCAAAAAGAATAAATTTTATTTTTTTATTAGCTAAACCAGCATCTTCATTTTCTCCAGCTGGCACAGGGAGGCCTCTTCACAGACAAGCAAAGTAAAGTTCAAATAATTCTGGTTTGTCCTGTAAGTGAAGCCATTGTTTTGTGCTAAGAATAGATTAAAATTAAAAAATTAATTAAAAAATGGGATTAGACCTAGATTGGTCCACAGCTTCTTTAACAACTGTAAAGTTTCACCATGCCCATCACTTTTCCAAGTGATCAGCATTGTTTCCTCTTTTCCTAGTTCCTCTGCAGCTTTTTTGTTGCACTCATCTGTCATCTCTTAGTTTGCTCTTAAGTGCAGTTCTACCAGAGCTAGTGACAGTATTGCACTCTCTAGGTATAACACTGCCCCTAACACGCAGGGATTGCAGTGTGTAGCCAAAGCTAGCAGGAACTGAGGTTATACATGTAAGTCCCAGTTGTCAGATTTTTAAGGTTTTTGCCTTCTCCTCCTGGTGGGAAAAGAAATATTTACTCAAATGCCACTTTATATTCACTAACTTTACACAGTCCTACCGATATGACACTTTCAACACCATCAGCTTTTTATCCGCGAGCCCCAATCACTGCCTGATTTACATACATCCTTCTGCTGCTGTTCATGGATACCAACACAGAATTCCTGGACATACCTCCTCTGTAACTCCTTAATTCGCACCATCAGGTTGAGGTGACCCTGAGAATACTGCTCAATAACATCTCGGACATCATAGGGCTTTCTAGCTTGCTGTAAAAGAAGAGACAAAAAACATGTCTTTAAGCCACAAGGATGTAGGAATGGTCTGTGACAATGTAGACGTTTTTTTATAATAACAACACTGTTGTTATTATAACTGTATGAGTTATTTTGATTGTTGCCATGATCACACATTTTTGGTGATTTTGACAGTTCTCATTTCATCCACCTTTTCCTAACTGCAGACCTATATGCCTTTGAAGAGATTATCCACCAAACAGGAGCCCAAAAGAACTTGGAGCCAAGAAAAGTTGGTCTGGCACTTTGATCAGAAGTCTGTGCTCCCTCTGGTTTCTTCTGAAAATGAGGTTCATACTCCTTGGCCACTGAACAATATAGAGGTCTTTCACATGCACAAGCCCCTGTTCTCAGTCAGTAGCTGGGGTTCTCAGTTCAGGTCTTACCATAGGAAGGTAAAAGCACAGTCCTTGATGAAGGTGCATGACTGATTTCCTCTTCCAGAAAGAGTGGCTGAGCTTTCAAGGCTACTGGGAAATACTGGTGCCAGGAATGACCAGGGAGAAAGCCCTGTGTCTGTGTTTTGAATGGCATACATGGGAAAGACTTAATCTGACCTTAGCAATGAAACAACTTCTTTTTTTTTTTTTTAAATTAAAGGTCAGGGCAATACTATTAACCTATAAACACCAGGACTAACTGGAAAGCAAGTGAACAAACATTTCAAAGTGCAGGAACAAATTAAAGATATCTTAATCCTACATCTAGAAACTAGAGTGCAATCAGTGCCAGAGCTGTTTAGTTCCGAGCACAAGAAAGTAATGGACCTGTTAGAACAAGTCCAGAGGAGGCCACAAGGATGACCAGAGGGCTGGATCACCTCTCCTATAAAGATGGGCTGAGAGAGTTGTGTTGTTCAACTTGGAGAAGAGAGGTCTCCAGGGAGACGCTCTTGTGGCCTTTCAGTACTTGAGGGGGGCTTTTAAGAAAGAAGGGGGGACAGAGTTTTCACAAGGGCCTGTAGGGACAGGATAAGAGGGAATGGCTTCAAGGTGAAAGAGTGCAGGTTTAGATTAGCTATTAGGACAAAATTCTTTACTTTGAGGGTGGTGAGACACTGAAACAGGCTGCCCAGAGAAACTGTGGATGCCCTAACCCTGG